GTAGATAATCGTAGACAGCCACTATGACATGACAGAATGAAACTGAATAGAGTGACCTAGGATTTAATAATGCTGAAATATATCTCAAATAGGGGAGTCAGTCAGTCGGAATATTTAGAGTATACTTGACTATACTACTTAGACGGAGTAAGTATTTCCGGTCACACCCGTTCAAACAACCAGCTCTGCGAACTTTGTGTAATAATTGTTGCTTCTGTCCTTTAGATAATAATAATGAGGTTTATTTGTAAAGCACATCTAACCTCGGTAAAGATTACTTGACGTGGTTGATAACTTCATCCCACCCAAAATTAACGCTCCTCAGTGGCCTCCCAACTTCGATGTAGGAGCAGAGAAGACCCATAGACGGTTTATTGGTCGGCAGTGGTGTTTAAACATTATGGTTTTATTTTAATAGTATACAGAAGCTGTTAAGAAAGCGCTCATGAGGTTTTAGCCATAACGGAACATAAGGTAGGATTTTTGCAGATGCCGGATATAGGCAAAACTCCTTGCATGGTGTGCGAAATTGCTAGAAAATAAAAGAGAAAAAAGATATAAAAAAGGATAAGGCACAAGGTAGCCTAACGAATCATCTCAAATCAGCACTATGTACATTTCTTCAAGGGTAAACTTAAATGCTAGATTTCTGTTTCATCTTTCCTCTCTTACGCACTCTTCATTAACTCAATTAAATATTCACGATAGGCAGTCTTGTGTCACTAGATTGAAAACAAAATTCTACCAAACGTAACATGCCCTAAACAGCAAATAATACCTACGCATGTCGAGCCCACGGTCCTTTTATTTTTAAGACTACTCAGTAATCAGTTTTACATACAGTTATCAGAATTGTAGGGGAGAAGAAATAATATTCAAGTTAATAGGGAAAATCAATAACATTGCCATTTACTGCTCATACTTTTTTTAAAGCTCAGTTTTATTTTCAAATTTCCATAAATCTGTCAAAAGGTATACATTCGTATACCGAGCCTAATTAGACAATAAGACAAACTAATAGTAAGGAATTTTGTGTGCCAATGAAGTGATAAAATCTATGAGTTCAGCGAAATCCTGTATGTCTCCGGTAACGTACGTGGATTGATACTACTTAATGAAAACGGACGACAACTCTGCCTAATGCAACGCATAATTGCGGCCTTAACCAGTTAAGTCCTAGTTCTCCCTATGCCGGATTTCCACAGGTATACAGCGTAACCATCCTCATGCCGTAGGCATCATGAGTTGTCCAGAAATAATCGAAGGATGGCATCCAGTTACTGTTGACTGAATTCCTACACTGGCCATCCATCAGTAGGTATTTTGTGCAAAAACCGGTTAGTGCGACTTACTATCCATCTCCAAATGTTCATTCCAATTTGTAAATTTTGATCGAAATACTAAAGGATGGCTATAAAAATTGAAACAATTGCCGATGTTATCAAAAAAGACAGCGAAAGCATAGATCAGTGATTTTTTGAAGTTTTACCAACCTAGGATACTTAAGTAGTACTACATGAGAAAACCAAAAAAATGCAGCAAATTTCATGGAAACGATACAGAGACTCCGGAGTTGAAAGGGGAATTTAAAAATTATCAGTTATCCTATGAGTAACCATGTAAAAATTAAACGCAGAAGGCGGCCTATCTCCCGCAAATTTTCATAAAGCAAAAAAGACGCTGGTTTTGAATGACTAAAATCTAAAAAAAACTCACCTGCCAAACCTGTCTCCCACGACCACATGCCATTGCGGGCCGAACTTCGTGTCCAAGCATTGCTTTATAGCAGTGGCGACGTCATAGTCGGTGTCATAGGTCTGACTGGCGTTAACCACCGCCTCCAGGAAGAAGGACTCAACATTTGGACAGAGATCGCGGCGGATGAACTTGGGCTTGTCGGCACAGGGATCATTGTCCAGCTGATAACATCTGCAATATTCAGGCACCACTTGCATCGTGTGTGATCAGAGGTTGTCGTTAAAGTGTTAAAGATGTTGTCGTTAAAGTGTCACGCCAACTAAAGATGCAAAATGTATATGTACGTTGAAGTGAAAGGGAGACAGTGCAGTGCTGTTTCCCGACCATGATTGGATGAAAGCAAACAATGTGGCATCTGGCGAGCTTGACCTACATGTTTTTCCTTCAGGGTAAAAACCCAAACTCCGCCCCCATAAGTGTGGGGCTTTTTTTTTCTTGCGGGATGTCTCACCTCTGCAGCCTCACAAGGCCATCATCGAAGGAGGGCGTTAGTCCGTTGGCCCGTCTATGTAAACATTTGCTGCAAAATAAAACTTCAGCAGTCTGCGCAAGTAAACTTCCCGCGCCATTTGACTTTTGTGTCTTGGGAGAAATCTGAGTGAAACACTTGGCATCTCCAAGAACGCTCACGTCAAAACTAAGTTAGGTGTGGAGATGCCTCAGTGTGTGATTTAATTCAGAATTCCCACGTTTTCAATTACCAAGTAAAGAAATAATTCCCATGAGATCATCGATACCCCCTGTTTCCTGTTTCTGGCGTCGTTGATTATTCAGTAGTAATTGCAAGATTGTGACTATGTTACATGACACGTAAATCCATTCAAAACGCATCGCTCCAGTCACATCAAATTAGCATCATACTCCTAAATGCCGGCATGATTGCAAACCCTATAGGAGCTGTGACGACGTGCGACCTTTCAGTCCACCGCTTACAACAGATAGTCTGTACTCTCGATCTGCGAAGAAAGTGCGTCGCTGGTAAACCTTAATTACCTTGAATCTTAGCATAAGGCCAAATGTTATTATAAGGCGATAACTCTTTCCGCCTTTTTTCGTACCGCGAAATCAAAGTGCTACCGACACCTTTCCCAATCGAAATGATATGATAATAATGATAATAAATACCAAGATTTTACAAGGAGTCAGGCTTAATTTATCAACTGTAAGGGTAAACGAGGAAAACGTTTATAAAGCCGAGGTTTCCCTAGCTTCATGTGTGTCAGACAGCCGGCGACAAATACGCAAGCAGTGGCCTCTGTGTTCACGCATGTCGCTATCGAAGAGTGTTAAAACTAAGAAAATTAATCCTAACGGCTGCGATCTTCATGCCCCGTTCCTTAGGGCAGGAGATAAGTCATAGGCAGGTCAAAGTAGTATGAAGAGTGTATTCTATACGGACGGAAAGGAGAATATTTAGGACGACGTCTTAACTGCCGGAGCACACGCCCAGCCACGAGGTTGTCTAGTTCCAGAGTGATGTCTGGCAGCAGCCACTGCTCTGAGGTCTTTGTTTTATGCAGCCTTGGCGATAATTGGTTGAACCGCGCGAGGTTACGCCGCGGAGTGCGCGCAGGCGAGAC